AATCTGTATTTCCTTGTCATAGGATGAGATGCCAACAAATCATAAATCTTACCTCAGCTTATTAAACAAAACCAGTGCACTGCTTTGTGAAGTCACATTGGTGTCTTCCTATATACCTTCTTCCAATACCTGACACCCCCAAGAGGGTGAGAGACTTGGGAGAGCACATTTTCCTAACGTGCTTCTGATGTCATCTTCAGAATGTCCTGGGAGTGGAACCCAAGCCAGTGCCTGACCTGGTTCATGGCTGGACCAAAGAAGCTCAAGTTTCAATGCCCCGTGGCTCTGAGAATGAACTGCAGTAATGCTTCATGTTTGGGGTGATATAGGCAAATCATGTGCAGGTTGTAGCTATTAGGAAATTCAAGAGCGTAACTGCTCAAGGCAGTCACCCAACAAGGTCATAATATTCAGACATCCGTCTGCTGGCACTGCACCTGCTCCCAATCAGTAATCAGGAGTCGAAATATCACATGTTCCTTAGGAAACTCATGGAATGACACTGGGAATAAGCCAAGAACTGAATCAAGAAGGATAATGGCTCATGTGTGTGTGCATGCACGCGTGCCCACTCATGTAAACTGTAAGAAAACCACATCCTTCAAAAGAAGACAACCATATTTTTGCTTGCATTTTAATACCTTGCCTTTAAAACATACTTATAATTATCAATACAATGAAAAGTGAAGCAATGTAGACCAGGCTATTTTATCTGAAGGCTTTCCAATATTTCTAAGGCCATGATTCACTGTACCAAGAGTTCAAAAGAGCACTAAAGTCCTTTGTGTACCAAATATTAATAATGCCAATAAATATAACCAATCACACAAAGTGCTATTTCAAAGCAATCATCATTACTGTCTTGCTCATAGTGGAGAATGTAGCAAGTTAGCAGTCTCTAAAACATATCTCAAGGCATTGCAACTCAAGTGGAAAGTGTAACAAAAACATGTGCTGGCCAGTTAAGCTGGTATTTAAATGCAGCACTAAAAATGCATTTCACACCCAACTTCATCAATCACCAACCAATCTTACTTTGCATCTTGGCTACCAAAAGAAAATGGGATTTGTTTCACTGAAGAAATATGTCACTGCTTTGCTTGAATTATTAAGCTTCACTATTACAGAGAGAAACAGAGTCAAGAAAAAACAAAAGAAAGAAAATTAGAGCCAGGTTGCCATCTACAGACTGATGTCAGCATTGCTCATTCATGTAACATTTGATATCTGAGAATTAATAAATGTCAGCAATAAAAAAGGGCAAAATGTACAGCTACAATCTTAATTATTTTAAAAAATCAAGATAGTCTATGAAGTCTCTTTTTTCTAATTAAGATGAGAACAGTACATAGGTAAAGAACATTGGATCAAACATTTGCACAAATTAACACATTAGAAAATAATCATAGATATTTGCCCTAACTCTAAAATTTCACATTTTTAAATAAAGCTAAAGAGCTTATTTAACATTGACGTTAAAACAAATTTTAAGTAGAAAGGGTTATGTAGATTTTATCTCTAAAACCAAATTCTTAAGTCTCCACATCCTCCACTTTCATTTTGCTTCAAACACTTATTGCTTTTACCCTTCTAGAGAATAAGAGCCCTCTTGAGACATGAGTATCCAAAAACACGCACTTGGTTCTAATTAGTAAAACAGATGACATTAAAGTAAAAATCAACTTCAGTAATAAATGGATATGAAGACTGAATTAAGTAGTAAGAAAGAAGAGAGAGGCTTTTGATATGACAACCTGGAAAACTTCTCTAGTTGAAGACATCTGATGGGAGATCAATTAAGAAAAAATTCCTCAGTTTTTAAATGTATGGATTTAAGCTAATATGCTTAAACTTATAAACTGACAGTTTAATATAGTGAACGTCACAAAATCTTTTCTCATTTTTCCTAGAAAAAAATTATTTGGGGAAGTCAAGATTCATTTTCCAGGTTATATGTTCTTTCTATCAAGATGAAAAGATAAAAAAATGCTTCATCTAAGCTCTTAAATATGCTTCTAGGTCAATGGTACAAGACTCTTACTGAAAAAAAAAAAAAAATCAATCCCTGAAACAAGGCACCAGCAGTTGCTGCATGTAACAATGAGATCCAGCAGCTGAAAAGTCTATAATCAGTACATTATGAAACCACAATGGACAATATACACTTAAAATGAGCAATTATCTAAAACAACTGCAGGATTCTCTAAAGATAAGGAAAGAACAGCTGAGGGCTTCTGCCTTTTTCTAGCACTTTTAAAATATGACTTGCTTCAGTCTTGAACAGGTTTTTAATATTCTCATGCCTACAGACACAAATGTTGTTGAAAACTACTTGTGAATTTCTATAACAGCAAAAATACTGATAAATCCACTTTTTAATAAAGGTTACTTTCCTAAGAATGAGATATATATATATACAGCCTCTTGTGTTCCCAAGTTTCTACGAATGAGATAACTTGAAAAGATGATTCTTTCATTTCTTCCAAGGGACAACTATTAAATCCAAAGACTTCTTAAAAGTATTCTGGAAGAAGGATTCAAATTTCCATAGACTAATAAGAACTTCACAGAAAATAATCAAATAACATCTTATAAAAGACTTTTAATCAAGTATAACTCATGAATTCTTTTTTCAAGTTGGGGTCCCACTCTGTCACCCATGCTGTAGTGCACTGGCACAATCACAGCTAACAACAACCTTGACCTCCTGGGATCAGGTGATCCTTCCACCTACCTCAGTCTCCTGAGTAGCTGCAATCACAGGTACACACCAACACCAACACACTTGGCTAATTTTTTGTAGAGATGAGGTCTCACCATGTTTCCCAGGCTGGTCTCAAACTCCTGGGTTCAAGCAATCCTCCTACCTTGGCCTCCCAAAATGCTGGGATTAAAGGCGTGAGCCACTGTGCCCAGCCTAACTTATGGAAATTTTAAACAAGTTCTGTTTCTTAGTGGGTATTACAGACCTAACTATTTTATTTCTTCCATAATTGAATGAATGAATACTCATTCATTCAACATTTATGAATGAACACTTAGTTATGATGCTTCATATCTATCATACCAGTGCCAATTGTTGGGGGATTAAAAAAAAACTAGTAAAACATAGCTCAGGGGATATATCTTGGGGACTTCGCAGTATATTGATTAAAGTAAAGCCTTTCTTATTTGTAATGCTCAGGGCACAGCATGTTCTTCAAGGCTAACTTATTTTCTTTGGTTCCTGTCACATAATAGTCACTTAATAAGTATTGGCTGACTGAGTTTTACCCTGGTCACTGAAAAGAACTGTACAAATTTAAAGACAGGCAAAACTTTAGAGATAAATCTTTTTGTTGTTGTTGTTGTTGTTTTGTTTTGTTTAGACAGAGTCTAACTGTGTTGCCCAGGCTAGAGTGTAGTGGCACACTCACCGCCACTGTTGCCTAGACCTAATGGGCTCAGGGGATCCTTCCACCTCAGCTTTCCAAGTAGCTGGAACTACAGTCGTGCACTACTATGCCCGGCTAACTTTTTTGATTTATTGTACAGACAAAGTCTTGCCAAGTTGCCCAGGCTGGTCTCGAACCCCTGAGCTTAAGCAATCCTCTCTTCTCAGCCTCCCAAAGTGCTGGGATTACAGTCTTGAGCCACCACTCCCAGTGAGATATATCTTAATATGAACCCGTATTTTGCAGATCAATAATGAGGCCTAAAAAAGGTTAGGTGAGTTAAGTGCCCAAGGTCAGTAGCAGAACTGGAGCAAAAATCTAGGACTCTTGACTTCCAGATAATCTCCATCATTAAAATCTTTGATGATTTAGACTCCTTTCACTGCTTCTCTGTGGCATTGCTTCATCCATGTACCCTATTCTTTTAACCCAATCTCACACATATTTCTTCTGATTCTTTAATCATCTGTGCAGCTTCCTCTAGGGCCTCACAGGAGTTCAAGCTGTCTCCTCAGCTGTGATACTCACATTGCTGTCATTTGAATGTGACTCTTCACATTCTGAAATAAGCTGGAACTCCCAGTTGGAAGACGATACTCTGTCCATGAATCTGCAACTTGATCCCATCTATCCCCTCCCTGAATGCCCTACCCCGTCCCACTGGTAGGGTGTGTGAGTGGATTCTAGGGCAGGAAAAGAAGGAGTCACTCCACTGGTCTGTTTCCCAGTCACTCTGAGAACATGCTTGGACTGACACAAAAAATCGCCCATCTTCACAAAAACCTAATGTGAAAGTTCACAATTTGTATCACATACTTCCTTAGTTCACCACACTTTTATCTCATACTAATAAAATCTTGGGCTAATGAAAAATTTTTTTAATCTATTTTATATCATCTCTCACTTAGTAGTGCAAAATAAAGCTACACAACTAATTTTGGCACATATGCTACGGTTTATTGGTAAACTTTTGTGTGTGTTTAGTAAAATTAATAAAAACGACTGTTCAGGAAAGGTGATCTGTAACTAAAAGTAAATCATAATGAATGTGGGCAAGAGATACAGACACAAAAAAGAGAGACAAGTATCAACAGTAGTTGGCAAAAATATTAAACAAGTGCTATCAGTAAGAGCAGAGCATGGCAAATTTTATCTTTTTTAAAATAAGACCACTACAAGAAATATTCGACCTTAAAACAAGTGTCCTCATAGCACATCAGCTAATTACAAATAGAAACTGAAGATCAGGTTTGGTATTCACACCTATATTTCCATCACTTTGAGAAGCCGAAGTGGGAGTATTGCTTGAGCCCAGGAGTTCAAGACCATCTAGGCAACATAACAATACCCCATCTCCACAAAAAAAAAAAAAAAAATTAACAGATAGAAACTGAGCATACAAAACAGCAGCATCTCATATACCAAAAGGCTTCTTTGAAAACTAATAGATGACAATAAAGAGTATCTTATGTGGGCCCTAGGAAACAAATGGATCTATTTAAGAATTAAAATTGTATCACAGTCTTAAGAGTAAAATAATTAATAATAACAATATAATGCACTTACCACTGTTTGGAACTGTCTGTTGTGAATTCTTTAACTTTACATTCTGTTTCACTTTTACCAGTTTTTCTGAATTCACATCTTTTTTCCCTTTCCTCTTCGGGGGCTGAGGAGATGAGTTGTCGCTGGATCCAACTGTCGACTTTGATTGGCGATCATTTCCCTAAATAACAAAAGATTAGCCCCTTATTACTGACTAACAAACTTCCAAAGGGATTTCTAGTAAATTCATTTCATTACCTAGTAATAAACAGGGTAGGGGCAGGGGAAGGGAATGGATCCTTCTGATTCTGCAACTGTGTATCTTAATACATTAACTCCAAATCTATCTTCCTATAGGCAGAAGGGTCTAGCAGATGAAAGAGAGTAAAAATAATAGCTCAATATTGTTGAGTATTTCACATGGACCAGGTATTCTATAAAACGGTATTTTGATACAGTCCTTGCTGGCCCTGTGAGATAGGTACCGTTTTCACCTTGCTGTATAGATGCACAATAAGACTTAGAGGGAAGCTTTGACTGGTCTCACAGCCAGTCAGGAGCAGAGCAATTGCCTGAACCCTTGGAAATCTGCCGCCTTAACCATCTTCTCACTCTTGCACCTCTCTGAAGAATCAATGACGTCTATTAGATGAGGAACAGTGACCACTCTGGTTTGATCAGTTAATCTAGAAATACCTTCATAACTAGTTGTCATTGTGAATGTATAGACATCATCATATAAGTACATTCACACTGTGCTTGTAGAAATCCTCCAATATTAATGCATCTGTTGGGAGCTACCGTGGTATCTAAGAATTACAAATCCAGGGCAACACCAGACACAAGAGATTCAGGACCACATGTACCTTCTTATTCCTGAGGGGGTTGTGCTACCTACTTGCCCCTATTCCTGCAAGGCAGCCACGAGCAATCACACCTTCGGCGGTTGCCTCTGGTCCCCATGTGCCTCTTACAGTGAAGACCTTGCAGCTACCAAAAGTGTACTCCTCAGCATCAGAGTGAGGTTCAGTTCCAGTGACCCCTGTCACTGTCCCAGTAGAGCTCCTGAGGAGCTACAGAACAGCCACTACTGTGGGGGCTATTGCAAGGAACAACTGTGCTGATAACCAGCCAAGCTACTACTTGGCTACCACTGCAGTGAGAAACTCCTTCTTTATAAGGCATCCTTGGCAATTAGATACTCAGGTGCTAAACTTACCTGAGTGCATAGGTGTGAGGCTGCAGGTAGTGGAAAGAAAGCAAGTTTTAGAGACCCGAAATACCTGGCTTTGAGCTACTGCTCTGTCACTAATCACCCATGGGACCATGTGCTAACTCCCAATTTCTTTGAGTCTCTGTTTCCTCATCAGTTGAATGGGCTTAATATACCTGCCTTTGGGTCTACCATGAGAATGCAATAGAAAAGCCTATAAAGGAACTAGTACAGTGCCTGATTATGGTGTTTTCTTAATTAGTGTCAAAGTGTTTTCTCCTAGAGCAGAGAGTCAATATCTTTTTCTTAAAAATCATACCAAACTCACACCATATTGAGTATAGTCTTTATGCAACATCTGTACTATGGTAGTGTCTGAAAATAAATGTAGTAATACTAAATATACAAATCTGCCTGGAAAACTATTATAACTGCTCATTTTAAACATTTGTATATTCAGCCATCCGAAAACATTTAAATGGTTCTAGCCATCACCCAATTAGGAATAGAAAAATTCACAGCCTTACAAATGAAGTTATTTATGCTATTTTGTCCTTGCCTACAAGAAAATGAATTATGCATAGCTTTATTAACAGTATGAAAATGTGTCCAAATCTATAACACTTTTGTGTAATTTAATTTCCTATTCCAACTGCAATTTAAACATAGTTTCCATTTAATTATTGCAGTAACTGCAGCCAGAGGTTTCTTTCCTTTTTTTTTTTTTTTTTTTTCTTCAATGATTCTTTCTTAAGAATCTTAAGTTCTGTCATAAAGTGTCTGGCAGAGGAAATAAATATATTATAGTGGAGATTCCAAAATCATCAGCCAAGTCTCATATTCCCATTAATTTTCAGTGGAGTCTTTTCTTCTCAAGATTTTGAAATTACAAAAGCTTTGAATGAGAGAAACAATCCTTTCCAAGAAGTTAGCAGGCCTACTAGGATTTTCAGAGATGCTATGAACTTGTAAGGACTAGAATGGAACCTAATGAATGGGAAAATCCAGAGCTCAGCAAGATCAGTGTTTTACAACTCTCTGGGGCAAGTATTACTCACAAAAGGGGTATAACAAACATCCCCAAAGGTACGGTGGCTCATGCCTATAATCCCAGCACTTTGGGAGGTGGAAGCTAGAGGATTGCCTGAGCCCAGGAGTTTGAGACCAGCCTAGGCAACATAGCAAGACCTCGTCTCTATAATATATGGAAAAATGTGGTGGCACACGTCTGCAGTTCCAGCTGCTTAGAAGGTTGAGGAGAAAGGATGGCCTGATCCCAGGAGGTCAAGGCTGCAGTAGCTTTGATTGTGCCATTGCACTCCAACCTGGGTGACAGAGAGAGACTCTGACTCAGAAAGAAAAAAAAAAAGCATCCCCATTCTGCATGCTGGGGATTGATATAATTTTTACAAATCTCCTCTCTTGTATAATATATGGGAAAGTTCTGACTTATCATATTTCTGATAGAGACACTTGAAAGAGTAATTGTAGAACATTAAGAAAGACCGGCTAATTCAAATAACTACACATGGCAAATATTTGGCAAATGACACTCACTCATGCATTCAATTACTGAGTAATGACTAATTTCTAGGTACTTTGTGAGAAAACGTCAACTAAACTAAGAGAAAGGAAAGACTTGTTTAGTAATTAGAAAGTTGAAAATAGTTTAAATGCTTTTTATTTTTTGTTGTTGTGTTTTTGTTTTTTTGAGACAAGCTCTCACTATATAGCCCAGGCTGGTCTCCCACTCCTGGGCTCAAGCGATTCACCTACCTCAGCCTTCTGAGTAGCTGGGACTAGAGGTGTGCACACCCCCATGCCCAGCTAAATGCTTTTCTTAAAAAAAAGTAAAAGGTTGATTAATCTAAAGTGTTAATAATACAAAAATATACAATAACTTACATATAAATAAATGAATGTTATACAAGTTGTATAAGTAGTATTATCACCATTTTATAAAGGAATTAACTTTCTCAAGGTCTTCTTTTTCTACTGCACTGAAGCTTTCTAATTCACAAAGCACTAAAAACACTTACATAGTATGGTTCCCTAAAACAGCCATCTCAGGAGCAAAAAATTACAACTTTATCTCAAAGTGGAAGGAACGAAAAAGCAGCCTAATATTACAGGGTGTCCTACACAAAAACTGGACCTCATGCAATAGTTCAATCACTGCCCTGCCTTTTGCCTCACATGCATATCAATAGATCTAATAAGAAAAGCAAACCTCTGACTCAAATAAACAAAAAAAATCAAAAAGAGTTCTTCAATTACCCCTCAGTCTACTAAGATTGGGATTGATTTTTTATTAAAGGTTTCCTAGGCTCTTTCCAACAACATCCAATCTACTCAGATTTCTTTCATGAACCACAACAAACCCATTTCCAGCCCCCGTGAAAACATGCCAAAACCATATAGGCCATAAAACATCAAGTTTAAAATAATTCTGTGAGAGGTTTGCCTCACTGAGCAACCTTCATAATGTGTGTATTTCGGCCCAAGAGTTACTATGAGCAGAGGACTGGACTGTGACTCTGGCAGATGTTTCTCTCACTTGTGTGTCTGGTAATAGCAAGAGTGAGAAGTCCTTTTACCTATCCTGTCCCCAGTTTCCTCTGTAACAAAATTGAGTTTTTGAAGAATAAGGAATTCTTATGTTTATCACTTGCTTCACAGTGACTTTGTGATACTTGGAAAGTCAGGTAGCTTTTTGTCAAAACCACAGGAATCATAATATTAAACTACTGACCATAAGGATGTACTAGCCAAATGGCAATAAGGACGACAAAAGATCCTTTAGTCTTTGGCTTTAACTTTCAAAGGTGACTCTAATATTAATCTTCACCACTAGAGGGTGCTTTGATTCTATGTGGTGTCACCTCACATGTAGGAGACAGGCTTTCACAGTTTGGATCTATTTTTCAAACCCAGTGGAACTTAAGACAACTCATTTATACCACTGCATCACTTACATCTAGTGATCTAGACTCACTGGAATTCACTTACATCACTAGGATCACAATTTAAAATTATTCACAATTTGCTGATTTCAGTGGCTCTCCCAGCACTGAATTTGCATAAGGAGTGGCTTCTGGTCCTGAGTTGCACAAGGCATACCGTGGACTATTTTGAAAGGGTCTGCTTGTCCCTCAGAGACCTTGGTTGCCCACACTGCCCCCTACAGCCTGGGGCTCTGCTGACTAACTCATTTATGCTCCAGCAGGGCAGCAGGGTCCCTGTGCTGGCTGGCTGTCCTCTCTCGCGCTCTCTCTCTCTCTCTCTCTCTCCCTCCCTCCCTCCCTCCCTCTCTCTCTCTCTCTCTCTCTCTCTCTCTCTCTCTCTCTCTCTCTCTCTCTCTCTCTCTCTGTCTCTGTCTCTCTCTCTCTCTCAGGGTCCCTGTGCTGGCTGGCTGTCCTTTCTCTCTCTCTCTCCTCTCTCTCAGTTCTATCAAGATCCCTCCCACATTGCCTTCTTTATGCAATGGAGCAATTCCTAGGAAGCTTCATGGGAAAAATAAATTTCTGAAACTCTAGATCTATGTCCCCTTTGATAAGCGTCATGTGCGCTCAGGATGTTTCCTCACTGATTTTGCAGTGGTCCCTAAAGTTGGAAGCTTAGCTCTCTCCACACAGTCCCCTTCACTCACGCCCCTCCTCTCAGTGCCAGGCAGCTAATGATCTATAAAATTCATAAATTCTCCAGGGAGCCAATTAACTAAAGGAAAGGAGTAAATTAATCCTTCTGTTAAAAATTGAGCTTGTGACATTGGGTTTACTGGTATAAGATACCATCTCCGGGAGGCTCACTGCCAGACATTCACACATCCCCTCATCAGGTTTAGTGAGAGCCTACTAGACGCCCAGCACTGTGCTAGGGGCTATTCTCTTCTACTCAAATGGAACCTTCTAAGAGAGACTTCCCAACCACTCAGCTGAAATAGGATCCTCTCTCACGTTCTCTTCCCA